TTATTTCATGTTTCCTTTGGTCCTGCTTCCCATTTCAGAAGCTCTGTGGTTAATATCCTGTGTTCCACCCCACGGACCACACCCTTCTCTCAGCTGGTGGGATACCAGCCCCTCTTTTCATTTCAGCTACCTTGTGGCTGAGAAGAACCCTTCCTCTTGGTACTGCTAGGTACGAATTCAAAGAGTTCATTTCTGTATATTCTTTTTTTCCCTTCCGAGACTCTGCCATCTCTATTCCTCCCTTAATTCTAACAACAGCATGCTATGGGGGCAATACTTGACCCCAAATCATACAGAACGAAAACTGAGGCCCAGACAGCAGTGCGCTGGTGTGGTAATGGAGTGAAGAGAAAGGGCTTTGGGCCTTTATGTTCTGTCTCTGCCACTCAGTTTTGTCATCTTGGATAAGTCAGCAGCCTTGGTTTCCTCATTTGTAAAATGGTGGTAGCGGCAGCAACTCCAGGATCGTTGGACATGTTAAATATACGTGGGGAGGTCCCAGGCCATGGCGTCTGTTGGGCCTTCAGGATGTGATGCTGTTCTACCTCCTCTGCCGTCTGGGACCTGGCTGTTTAACCTCAGCCTTTAGTGGCAGAGCTAGAAGCAGAAGCCACTCTGGTGCAGGCCTGGTGCTCCTGGGTGGTGCTCTCTATGACCCTAAGATGCTATTTGGGTTCCTCCACCGAGGTTGAGCCTGGGCCAAGTGAGGTGTGATTCAGCGAGGGTCGGCCTGGCGTGGAGTGGGACTTCCAGCTGGAACTCTTAGTCACTAGGGGCCCCACAGGGCAGAGGCCAAGAAATAGTGGCTCATCAGGACCCCTGCACCCTTGAAAAGCGGCCCTGTGGCCCCAGTACTGGCTGGGAAATCATTTCATGGATTCCTGTTGATTTTCACAGGACTGTCCCTACTTCCTGGTAGTGATGGTGATGCTGCTTCTCACCCAGAGCCCGGGGAGCCAGGCAGTGTGTGCTGTGTGGGTCCCACGATCTCCCTGACACCCTGAAAAGAAGGCGCTGCTAACACTAGCATAGTTTTATAGAAGAAGCAGGCCAAATGGGCAGTGAAGGAGTTAGATTTGAACCCAGGTCTTCTAGGATCAAAAGCTCATGTTCCGTGCATGGAACTGTATGAACTTCGTTAGAGTAACATCTGCCATGAGGCTCCAGCACGCATTTTAATTATAGAATGTGTGCCTGCCTCCCCAAACCCGCATTGGCCAACTGATTTGACCACCGGCCAAACTGGAGTTTAGCCAAGTTACCACTGTTGAAGAGAAGAGAGATAAAAGTCCTCGAAGTTGTTATGAAATGAGATGGAGCGAGAACAAAGCGGCTATTTTGACCACCTTGTACTGGCTGAGGAAGAGGGAGAATTTAACAGACATGCACCTTAGGTTTCTGCTTTGCCCCAGGTAACTTCTTGAGTATGTTTTGAAAAACCTGTACATCTTTACTTCCTGCCTGGAGTGCCATAGTGATTGAAGCAGATATGAGTTCAAGAGCTGAGCTGATCCTCACTAAGCTCCCCCTTTCCCAGCCAGAACGAGCCTGCCTCCCTCTCCCCAGGACACTGGCACTGGCTAGTCATCATGCAGGGCATCACTCTTTCCCTATGATTTTCCCTCCTGCCTTCCCTAGTTTGCTTGGCTAGTTGAGTCTTAGGGCGCAGATGAAAGACTAACTGCATTCAGCCCTTTCCTGTCTGGTGAGTTCCTCATCCCTGGGTTCGACTACTTGTGGATGGAAAATACATAGTATGAGGTGGGGTACAATGGTGATATCTGTAACTGAAAGTGGAACTCAACAAGTACAGGCCTTTTCTTGTTGGTATTCTGAATAATACAGTAAAACAATTGTCCCACAGCACCGACATCTAGAGATGATTTTTTTATGAATTATTTTATTTTATATAATTCTTACATCATTTTTCATTTTTGCATAATGTATGCATTTTCATTTTGGTTGTATTCCCCATACAATTCCCACCCCCTTTTTCTGACCCTAATCCCTTTTCTCCTCCCCCCGCCCCCCACTGTAGTGTGTCTCTGGTCTAAAATTGCTTGTTGATTTTGATTTTCACTTTATTGCAATTAGTCTTTTTCCTGGTCCCTTATTTAGGTTTTCTAAATTCCTGCTATGAGTGAGACCATCCGGTTTTTTTCTTTTTCTTTCTGGGTCATTTCGCTGATCTTGGTCCCTTCCAACTCCATCCATGTTGCTGCAAATTACATGAGTTTATCTTTTTTGAATGCTGAGTAATATTCCATTGCATATATGTATCACATCTTCTTGATCCGGTCATCTATTTTTGGGCATTTGGGTTGTTTCCATAGCTTAGCTATTGTAAATAGTGCTGCTATCAACATAGGGGTGCAGGTGCCCTTTTGAATTAATGTTTCTGTGTGCTTTGGGTAAATACCTAGGAGTGGAGTTGCTGGATCATATGGAAAGTCTATCTTTAGTAGGTCAAGAAATTAGAGATGATTTTTTTTAAACATTTATTTATTTATGCATACAGAACTGGGGTATAGGCCAGAGGTGCAGGGGTTGAGAAAATTTACCAGAGACAGAGTGGGAAGCAGGACAGGCAGATCTACTGAAATACACTGCTGAGGGGAGCAGCGGGAGAGCCAGGAGAGGTTCTGCTGCGCTATGTGGGTAGCTTCCTGGCCAGGATCAAACACATGTAGCAGTGGCTGGTGATAGTTTGATAGCACTGAGATTTTAACCCCTGGGTCAGTAGGGAGGCCCTAGAGATGATTTAAAGTAGAGAAGATGTGGGTAGGTTATATGTATGGAAGGAACCTGAGCATCTGGGGATTGTGCTGTCTTATGGGGTCCTGTACCAATCATCTGCAGATGATGAGGGAGACTATAGGAGCTCAGGAAAGCATCACGAACCCTTTCCCATGCACCCTCTGCCCCCTGCCCTAAGCTGTCATGACAGCACCATTCATCTTTAGAGCACATCACTATTACAGTCATTCTGATTTGTTAATGTTGGTTTCCTCCACCAGACTATAAACTCCATGAAGGCAGGGACCACATTGGTCTCACTGTTGCATTCCTGGTGCTTGACACCTGCCTGACATACAAGTCAGTCAGCATTGAATGGGTGGAGAGATGGTTGGAGTTGGGTATAACGTATTTGCTTTCTCCTAACACTTGCCCATATACTTATTAGGGAAGGGGAGTTGTAATTACCTGTTTATAGGTCTCTCTTGGCTCTCTTAGAAGAATCCACCTTGAGAGCCCCAGAGCCTAGACTAAGGCCTGATATAGTAGATGACCAATAAAAGTTGTCTATGTGGTTGTCTAACCATAGCTCTTGCCCATGGGACATATTGGTCCAAGGACTCACTGCCAACAGGGGAGTTTGTTGAGAGGGACAGCACGTCTATTCAGGGATGTCATGGAAGGTACATTCCTGCCTCCCAGCACCCCATGCCACGGCTTACTTCTTGGTAAGGTCTGCTATTCAGGTTGCCAGTTACTATACTGATTTATTTGTACATAAACAGTTATTCCCATAACCTTGTCTTCGTCAACATTCAGAGATAATGATATACAATCTTTGTAACATTACAGACCTTGCTTCAAAAGCATTCTGTTGCTATAGAATGTTTATGATGTGCTTATTGCTAGGATTTCATGAGCAACAAACTCCCAAATTGCAGATGATTTAGCATTTGAAGCAGGGAGTGAGAGTGCATGTATATTTGCATTAAAAAAAAACTTTGAAAAGGGAAGTTTTTCTTCTGCAGAGTTGTCTTCTAAAGTTTAAAATAAGAACTACTTAAAAGCTGAGATTTTAGAGGAATGAGCACTTTCTCTTAAACATTCAAATGGGTGAAAATGACTGTAATCTCTCCCTCAAGTATTACGGCAATAGGCGTTTAAAGGCTTTTTTGGGGAGCTGACTGTCAAAGACAAAGGATTTCTCAATTTTTTTTAAATCATTTTTTTTGTAGCAAGCATTAAGTAGTAGGAATGAACACCAGCACCCTCTTGACATTTGAGTAATAATTTATTTTTTGAGATGGCCCAGTCCGTTTCCTAGTTGATATTTTGCTCCTCCCATTCAAGGCAGTGACTTCAGCAGGGGCTGCTATGTGAGGGCCCGGAAGTTCAAGATGGAAGGGTGTGGGGTGCCAGGCACAATTTTTGACCAGGTTCCATGAACTTCATGCTCTGTCACCTGAACCCAGCAAGTTGATATTGAAGCCACACTTCCTGGAGAGAGATTACGAAGTCTCAAAACTGTAGTCCAGAGGATGAGTTTGACATCCTTTTTATTTCCAGCCACTCTCACTAAACCAAGAGTTAGAAGTCAGTGCATCCTAGGTAGGTTGCACTGTGTAGAAACTGACTCCACGTTCCCCAGGTGTGGTTGGGGGAGGGTGCCAGCCTGCACGCTGCGGGGGGGTGTACCAGAGAAGTTACAGAAACTGAGAGTAATCGCTTAGAAACGTTCATACCAATTTGACACAGTAATCTGTTGAATAATCAAAGATAATGGACTTGGTCTCTGTATGAATATTTTTTAGTTCATTTTTCTGGTTCATTTTTATTATAGTTTATAAAAGTATTCATCTTCAGTGGATAGGAAATTAAAGATAAAGCGGCTGGTCCTTTGTCTCAAGCAGTTTGGGAAGCCCTGTTATACAGCTGCTGGGAGTAGTAAGCTATTGAATGAATTTTGGGAAATCACAACTTATACTGTGATAAAACATGTACTTTTCTCTCTCTCTCTCTCTCTCTCTCGGGTGGGGAGTGTGTGGCAGCGGAGGGGTCTGATTCATCTTTGCAAGCCTCATTCCATAGAGTCCTGCCTGGCACATTGTCAGACACAGGAAATGTTTGTCTGGTGCATTCTGTCAGCTACCCCATGGCCCTCCAAAAGGGGTAAGGCCGGCCTCGGGAGCGCTTGGGCTCTGCAGGCTGGTGATCAAGAGCCAAGAGCATACCATGAAGAAGCTTACCTTCTCTTTTTCTCACAGAACCAGGTCTCCTCTGCCCACCTGCCCAGCAGCATGAGAACAGCATGACTGGCCAGCCACAGCAGAAGCCCCCAGAGCCCCAACTCAGCCATCTGCTGCGGAGGTCAAGGTGAGCATGCCTTCCTCCTTTGGGAAGGTTTAGGGATTTTAATTTTAACTAATTCCATATGCTTTTGTAATCCCTAGTCATGTCTGGAGGAATGAGGATTACATGGGTAGATTCTGAAAATGTATGTCAGCTTCAAGGGGCAAAGTGTACTCATTTTGGTTAATGGAGAGGCTGATGGTGGAGCAGAAAGGACAGTGAATTGAGTTGCTGGACGCTGAAGATCTCATTGTTTCTCACCACCTCCTGAATCTGGGACTTTGAGCAGATCTCTTAGGGATTGGTCATCCAGAAAATGTTGGGTGAAGGAACTTCTGGAATAGGGATTTGGAAGGACAGTCAGTCCATGGTGTGGGACTACCAAGAGGTGGATTATCCTGTCCCATGCAGGGTATTAGCCAGGCCAGTTCCCAAAGAGTGTAGAACAGTGAATTGTTAGAAACTTCTTCCTGATATTGGGATCATCTCTTCTTCTCTGCAACCATTTGGAATCAGAGAGATTTTCAGTGATTCTGTTGGAATTTGAAGATGACTGTCCTGCGTCCCACTCTGTCCTCTTGTCCCCTTCCATGTGCCAACCCTACCAGTGGCTCAATCAACAGAGAATCATTCATTCCCTGTTCACTGTGCAGTATTTAGTACGAGCCTCCTAGCACAATCGCCATGCTAAACTCTGGAGTGACATCGGTGGACAAAAAACACAGTCTCTGTCTTTTTATTTATTTTTTAAAGATGTATTTATTTGTGCATACAAGAACTGGGGTACAGGCCAGAGATGTGGGGAGTGAGAGGATTCACCAGAAACAGGGTGGAGAGCAGAACAGGCAGATCTACTGAAATACACTGCTGAGGGGAGCAGTAGGCGAGACAGGAGAGGTCTGCTGTGCCATATGGGTAGCTCCCTGGCTGGGGATCGAACTCATGCTGCAGTGGCTGCGGCACTGTACAATCACTGTGTAATGTTCCTTCACCCAACATTCTCTGGATGACCAATCCCTAAGAGATCTGCCCAAAATCCCAGATTCAGGAGGTGGTGAGGAACAATGAGATCTTCAGTGTCCAGCAACTCAATTCACTGTCCTTTCTAATTCACCAGGGAGGCCCAGTCTCTGTCTTTTTACAGACAAAGTAGATTTGTTTTCTTGGAGAGAGTTTGAAATAAGCATCGAACCACTTCTGTGTGCTCCTTTTTAAATATCTTATCTCTTCAACTTTTTCTTAAATGTTCCATATGAGTGTTTGAAAAAAAAGTATTCTCTAGTTTTGAATATAGTTTTCTATATATGTTCACTGAAATAAGTTAGCTCATTGTGCTGTGCAAATCATTTACAATATGTCCTTTACAGCTTTTGTCTGATTCATCTATCAATTATTGAGAAAAGTGTGTTAAAATCTCCCACTGAATCTGTCAATTTCTAACTGGAGTGCTGAAAGTTTTGATTTATATATATATATATATATATATATTTTTTTAAAAGATTTATTTATTTATTTATACAAGCACTGGGTACAGTCAGAAGCGCGGGAGGGTGAGAGAATTCACCAGAGCCAGAGGGGAGAGCAGAGCAGGCAGACTGATGAAATACACTGCTGATGGGAGCAGCGGGCGGCAGGAGAGGTCTGCGCCCATATGGTTCCCTCGCCCGGTGGCCGGGGATCGAACCAGTGCTGCAGAGGCTGCGGGCAGCTTCGCAACCCAGTGCTCAACCTTTGCGCCACCAGGGAGGCCCTGCTTTATGTATTTTAAGCAATGCTATTTGGTGCATAGATGTGTAGAACAAATAGATCTTATTGATGAGGTAGTGCTTTATATGCTTTCCGTTTTTCTGCTTTTTCTTTTCAATGGTGATTTTTTTTTTCCTTCATTCCATTTCCTTATTTGGAAGTCATACACTCTGTAAGTGTTATTTCAGTGGTAATCCCAGCTGTTTTAACAGGCATACTTAACAACGTCTAAAATTAATCAGTGTCTTTACCTTTCTCCCAAACAATACAAGCGCCATAAACTGGCTGAATTCTAGTCATTGCCTTTCCCAGTTTATATGCAATTATAATACTGTGTTTTCATTCTATTTTGTTTTTCTCCCCTACAAGTTAGACATTATTTTATGCAGTGATTGTAAAAATTTTCCACATACTTACCAATATCTTTTCTCACCATTCTTTCATGAATCTAAGATTATTTTCCATCAGCCTAAAATAAACCCTATATTTAGCATTATTTTTAGTGAGAGTTTATTGGTGGCAAACTGAAGTTTTGGGGCTTTTGTTTTTTGTGTTTTGTGGGCTTGGAAATGTCTTCTTTTGCTCTGGATTTTGAATGGTGGCCTTACTGGATGTATTCTCTCTGGTCATCAAAGCTATTTTTCCACTGTGTCTGGCTTCGAATGTTGCTGTTGGGAAGTTGACTGTCAATCTAACGACTGTTCCTTTATAACTAACCCAGTGTTTCTCTCCAGCAACATTAAAGAGACTCCTTTCTTTGGTGTCCTGAAGCTTCATTGTCATTGTCACCGGGTGTAAATTTCTCTTATTCTGCTTGGGTTTTGTTGGAATTTCTAGAGCTACAGATTAGTGTCTTGAAGTAATTCTGGATAAGTCTTACCCTTCATTTCCTTAAATACTTCCTTTCCCCCTTTCTAAGATCTCCTTCTGGAACTCCAGTTAGACTTGCAGTAAACCTCTCTTTCTAGACTCTCTATTTCTTCACCTCTGTGTCATATTTTCCATTTTTTTGGTCTCTGAGTGCTGCACTCTAAATAATTTCTTCAAATCTCTCTTCCACTTAGTGAATTTATTTTGTGTCTCAAGTGCTGCTCCATTGAACTTTTTCCATCAGTTCCTTTATTTATCATTTCTAGAAATTCTGGCCTGTTGCTTTTCAAATCCACTTGGTGATTTCCTTGGTGTCTTATTTCTTGCTCATATTTGCAAACTTCCTTTTTACTATGTTCAAGTAGCTCTTTAGAAATGTTAGAATTCACGTCTGGTAATTCCAGAATATGAAATCTTCGCAGGTCTGATTCTGCCGTCTGTTTTTCCTTCTGATTAGTACTCATGCTGCCTTGTTTGCTGTTGTTGATGTTATTTTCTGTGAATGAATTCAGACTGCAAACCTGTGTGAGGTCCAACTTAAGGTCATAGATGTTCGTTCTACCCAACCCAAGGTCAAGTTTCCTGGAAGCATATGTGCATGTATGTCTCATTCACTGAAGGTGGAGCCTTTTGGAGTCCTAACTTTTTATATACGAACTAGACTTTTTCTCCTGTTTTCCTGAACCCTATGCAGCTTTCATAAGGCGTTTAGAATCTCCAGGAACTAGCAGGACCCCCTCAGGGCAAAAGTCAGTTTTGGCGCTAGCTCACTTCCTCAGGCTTCCACTTTGGGTTTACTTTTGGCCTTTGAGGAATCCTTCCAGTTGTACCAGCTCTGCAACATATATATGTTTTTATATTTTAAATTTTATCCAGCATGTTAGTTGTTTCGATTGGCAAGGTCAAGTAGCATATCTGATCTGCCATACTACTAGAATGGGCAGGAGGGCTGGAATTACTATTCCTTTTTCACAGGAGTGTGAACCAAGGTTCAGAGAGGACGTGTAAGTGGCTATATCACAGAGCTAGTAGGTGGTGGACTGGCAGGGAATATGTCCCTCTCTACTTGCCGTCTGTCTCCTGCCTTCCCTTTCCCCAACATAACTGTTGAACGTTTTTCCAGGGTTAACTTTATGCTCACATAGGATATGAGTTCCTACCAGAATGCTTTAAATAGCTGGACAGCTTGGTAAAATTTGTTTATGAATCTATTGTTTATCTTCCTTGAGAGAGGAAATGGCTTCTGCATATTTTGTGGCTTGTGTCTCCGGTGGTCACCAGCAACTTTCCTGCTTCATTCCCACTTCACAAAGGCCCTGGGACCCAGAGCCAGGTCCCCTGTGCACCTCCTCCTGGTGCCAGTTTCCTCTCATCCTCATGCTGCCCTCTCCTCACTTTCTTCCCTCCCAAGCCTCTTCTCTACCCCCCTCTCCACCATCTTTCCTGCTGTTGGTTTTCCTGTCGGCTGATGGTACCTTCTATCAGAGGGGAGCTCTCAGCGCACAGTGGTTAAGCTTTGGGACTTTTTGGGGCAGGAAAAAAGAGCTGAATTTGAGTCTAGCTCTGCCTCCCACTGGTGTCGTCTCTCTGAGCTTCAGCTTCTTCATCTGTCACATGGGGACAAGAGGTGGAGCTGTTCAGGGTGAAATTGGATGGTGTGTGTAAAGCCCAGAGCAAGGGCCTGGCGGTCTCCAGTGCTCAGGCGTAGCAGTCAGCATTTTATGAGTGAGGGCAGACCCCTCCAACGCCTGCGCTCTTTCTCGGTGGAGCTTTTCAATTAACAGAGCTGGTTCTAAAACATGAGGAAAACAGAAGCAGACATCTAGGGTCCACGTGAGAACCTCAGCCTCATTATTAGGTTGCTCAACCTGGAGTGTTCTTGAGAACCTGAGGGAAAACAGAACACACTGGTGTGGTCAGTGTTTACAGAAGCTATAAAGCATGGGTTCTGAAAATGGGGTGCCCAGTATCTCAATCCCTCACCCCAGCCATGCCCTCTTCGTCATGGAGCCTTGAGGGTGCTGAAACAATAGGATGCTTCCCACTGGGGGTTTCCCTTTTTGAAGCCCCCAGGTCAAAGGGGTAGCACGACCACCCTGTTGGAAACTTGTCCAGCAAGGGCGGGAGGGGAGTCTTCACTGTCCATTTTACTTCCGTTCCTATAGCTGTTGTGACTCTTTATTTCACACACTCCCTTCTAGTAAGTGGCTTTATATTGCTCTCAGATTTGTATCACTTCCTGATTTGATAGTTATCAGACATCAACTTTTTCAGCACTTGCTATTTGTAGTGACTTGGGTATTTGTACAATAGACAGATGGTATAAAAAGGGCCATCTCTTTGACCCTAAATGACAAAAAAAATGCATAAAGGATAAAACATCTACATAAAATTAAGTGCCAGACCTT